TTGCAGTCCTTGACCCTCTGCAGCAAGCGCTTCAGGTCCTCCTCAGTTTCAGCAAGCAGGGTTGTGTCATCTGCATAACACAGCTTGTTGATAGATCTTCCACCAATCCTGATGCCACATTTCTCCTCATAGAGCCCAGCCTCCCGGATGATCTGTTCTGCATACAGGTAGAAAAGGTATGAAGACAGGACACATCCCTGGCATATGCCCTTCCCAATTTTGAATGATGCAGGGTTTACTTGCTCTGAACTGACGACTGCCTCTTGGTCCAAGTATAAGTTTCACATTAGCACGATCAAGTGTTCTGGTATTCCCATTCTTCTCAGAGTCAGCCATAGTTTGTTATGATCCACACAGTCAAACCCCTTTGCATAATCAATGAAGCACAGATCAACATTCCTCCGGTACTCAATGCTATTAGCCAAGATCCATCTAACATTAGCTACAATATCCCTAGTACCACGACCCCTTCTAAACACAGTCTGGATATCTGGCAGTTCTCTGTTGATGTACTGTAGATTAACCAAAAACGACTGGAACAAAATTCTAGATAAGTTAAAACCCTCAGAAATGGAATGAAAAATACAGTTGATCTTTAAAGAATAAATAGTAATAACTATTAACTTACTCTATTTTACATAAAATTATTCATGGGAAATATGAAGTAATTATATTTTCTGACAAATTCACTAATAGCTTGTCCAACCTTACTAAAAGAACTATTTAAGAAATAACTCAATCTATTGTTACTCTAGTTGCTGAATTAGAAGCAACTAATAATTTACCTTCTAATGAAATGTCTGATGCTACACTGCATAGGAGTAGATTGTCTATTTTTCTCTTTCTCTTTATCTTACTGCCTCTGAAAAACCTGCTTGGTCCGTTATAAGTTGCTTCCAAGTTGATGGTACACAACAACATCTCTCCCTCTCCCTTCTCCTCTCCCTGTCCCTCAGACTCTCCCTCTCCCTCACAGTTTCCCTTACCCTTTTCCTTTCCCTCTCTTTTTAAATAGATAGATAGATGATGGATGAATAGATTGATAGATATAGATGGGCATAGATTATCTGTCTGTCTATCTATAAAATATGTATGTGTATGTGTATGTTGCTGTTATTATGGTCCTTCAAGTCAGACCAGACCAG